GTTCGACGGTCAAAGTCTCAGCGCACCAGCCGGCAGCGGCTATTTTATATCAACTGTATCTAGAGTCTGGCTCGCTAGTGAACGTCCATGACCTATGGCAGGCGTTCTATGCGGTGTTTGAAAGCGAGCAGGGGAATGGTTGTGATGAACGGACAGCGATGGCTCTGTTCTATAGGGCTTTATCGGACTTGAAGGCCCTTGGAATGATGAAAAGCAGCCGGAAGAAGGTGGATCATGTTTCTAAAACCGCGTGGATGGGTCTGTGAGACGTCATACCAAAAATTGCTTTGCAACATATCTCTCTTGAAGTTCAAAGGGTATCATAAATATAATAAACATGCAGCATTGTCCTTATCCGTCACCACTCCTTGTGCCCCAGAGTGTTGTTGTCTACAATCGATCACTCGTTCACAGGTACCTGTATAATATCCTCACTACCCAAAGCACGGCCCCCTTCGCTCAATACCATCGCCTCTCGCCTGCGTCTTCTGACAGCTTGTTCCTCGGCGGTTCTCTGCTGGATCCGTGGGCCGGATACTCGCCAAGACCCAGCGGTATCTTCACCATCGACCATCCATACGTCGCTGTCATAGTCATCATGATCATTTTCCTCCAGCATACTACCCATGAGGCCAAACTTGCGTAGTTGTTTCGCGCCGTCCACGTGTGAAGACAAAGTACCAAAAATCGCACTCATCACCGCATCATCCGACCACCACGTTTTCATAAGAATCACGACATCTTGACGTCGTGGCCGCTCTCCAGTGGCGCACGGAAAGGGGTACTTGGCCAGCCAACGACTGACGATACCAGCCTCTAGCGCAGCAGGCACATTTTCTTGTAGGACCATATTGAGTATATTCAGCGCTTTCTTCTCGCCCAAAGGCCTGGTCTTTGGGAGAATCGGTGAGACAGTCGTCGATGTCTCCTCTGTATGTTCGTCCAGGAGATTGCAAAGACAGTTGATTAGTGCGGTATAGGCAGGGAGGTCCTGCAGCCGGGAGCAGATGGAGGTGCGAGAGACTGATACTGCGAGTTAGCAGGAATTTGGTTTCTGATGTACGGACAGATGCCATACGAGCCCGGTTAGAAACAAGAAAGTACAATGCATTCAGCGCCTTGTTGCGTTGTGTTTTGTCTCTGCTCACCAAGTCTTGCAGCAGCAGATCCCGGGTCTCGCCTTTTGTTGATCGTTCTGCGATGATGCGCAGTGCGCTGGAATGACTCTTTAGTCGATGTGGATAGTTATGCGGGGAGGGGTGCATCCTCGTACGCTGCTCGGAGATCATGGCTAGTACTCTCGGAAAGCTTTTGTAAAGTGTCTAGGTTGAGTGCTGTTCTCTATTCAGCTCCCAATATGACAAAACACATATGCGCTGGCGCATACCTTCTTCGGTGCCCTCAGTAATCATCCTATCGTCCCTTTCCTCAACATGCTTAATTTTCGTCAACTCGCGCACTTGGCGGAGATCTGTGACGATGCCGCGAACAGCGAAGAAGAGTGAGACACCTAGAATGTCTCAGCAACCAGATATCGTCTTTGAGGCGCACTAGCTCACCTAAGCACAGCCATAACAAATTATCACCCATACGCTCCGCCATTTTACTATACCTCAATTCGGCGCTATGGTGGAGTTGAAGACGGTCGAGCTGCGGCGCGTCGGAAGGGCATTGGAAAGCGGGGAAAGTAATAGTGCCGGCAGAACAAGTGCCAAGGGGGGCGGTGAGGTATCTTTTTTTTCCCCGGGGCGGATCCCAATCGCGCGCCGGTTTGGCCCAAAAATTTCGGCGGAGTTCCACCTCCGAGCACAATTGAGCGGACGTCGACAACTTCCTGCACGCCCCAACGATGCCGCCGTCGCAGTTGAAGCAGCTTAAGGCCTCTCTTCGAGATGGAGGACTGCTGGGCCCCCAGCAGTCCAAGAAGCAAAAGCAGCAGAATGCAAAGTCCGGCGTTGCTGCGCAGAACCGCATTCAGCGCAACAACGCCCTGCAGGCCATTCGCGATCGATTCAATCCCTTCGAGATCAAGACGACTTCGCGGCCGAAGTTCGATGTAACTACCCGCGATGTGCCTAAGAAGAACGCCGGTCAGGCCAGACCTGGTGTGACCAAGTCCTACGGTGAAGAGAAGGTAGTTCCAGCCCAATATTTGCAGAACTTCGAGATTGTCGCTAATTGTCGTCTGCTTCCATTTTATCTAGAGGCGTCAAACCCTTCTTCAGGAGATGAACCGGCGAAACAAAGTTGGCGGTATTCTCGATCGTCGTTTTGGCGAGGACGACCCGACGATGACGCCGGAGGAGAGAGCGGCCGAGCGGTTCGCCAGACAAAGCCAGAAGAAACTGAGGAAGGAATCTATGTTCAACCTTGAGGACGATGACGAGGAGTTTCAGCTCACTCACATGGGAGAAACCCTGTCCTTCGGAGAGGGTGTCAACCTAGATGATTTCCAGGAGGGTGATCTTGGGGCGGAGGAGGACAACGATGACGAGGAGCTGCCCAGGAAGAGGAAGCGGATGTTGGAGGATGAGGATGATGATGCTGATTTGGCGGACATGATTTACGACGACGAAGAGGGAGAAGAACTGCCCGAGCGAAAAAAGTCGAAGAACGAGGTCATGAAGGAGGTTATCGCCAAGTCGAAGTTCTACAAGCTCGAGCGGCAGAAGGCCAAAGAGGATGACGATGATCTCAGAGAAGAGCTCGACAAGGGACTTCCCGATCTGTTTGATATGCTGAGGGGTGTCAAGCCACCACCCAAGCCAGAGCCCCCCAAGGATGATCTAGCGGCAATGAATCCCGAGCGGGCCGCTATATTGCAAGGGAAAAATCCCGATGATGCCGAAAAGGAGTACGATCAGCGCTTAAAGCAGTTAACCTTCGACAAGCGGTCCGCACCCACGGATCGTACCAAGACTGCTGAGGAAAAGGCAGAGGAGGAGGCTCAGCGCCTGAAGACTCTTGAAGAAGAGCGGCTTCGACGTATGCGTGGCGAGGAGTCAAGTGAATCCGAAGCCGAGGTGGCGGAGGAGGAGGAAGATGAGGACGAGGACGGCGAGGGATCAGACGATGAGTCAGTTTTCGACGACGCAAAGGCTTTCGGCTTGCAACAGCCTACCGAGGCGGTCACTCGTCCTGAGCTTGGGGTCGAAGACGAAGATGATTTCATTATCGATGACGATCTTGTGGAGACGAGGTCAGATGTGAGTCTGTCTTTCGATGAGGATGAGGACATGGAATCCGGTGTAGGTTCGGAGGAAGAGGAGGATGAAGATGAGCAAGATGATGAGCTTATCAACGGATTCTCGATTCCTGGACTCAACGATGGAGATGCCACAGCAGCGGCAGACGGCGCTAATGAGGTCAGCGATGGTCTGGCATTCACATATCCATGCCCCGGTAGCCACGAAGAATTCCTAGAGATCATCAAAGATGTTCCAATGCAGGATCTCCCGACCGTGATTCAAAGGATTCGAGCCCTGCATCACCCCCGTCTTCACAGCGACAACAAGACCAAGCTTAGCCGCTTTGCCGGCATTCTCGTCCAACACGTCGCATATATGACTGAACTATCGGACCACCCTCCTTTCTCGATCGTGGAGAACATCCTTCGTCACATCCACTCTATGGCCAAGAGCCACCCTGAAAGCGTTTGTCAGGCATACAGAGCCCATTTGCGCCAAATTGCGACTGACCGCCCTCTAAACCTTCGCCCCGGCGACCTGGTCATCCTGACCGGCATTGCGACGACGTTCCCAACTTCTGATCACTTCCATGCCATCGCGACGCCCGCCCATCTCTGCATTGCCAGGTATTTGGGTCAGGGTGCTGTCGACAACCTTAACGACTTCGCAACGGGCGCCTACGCAGCCAGTCTCTGCCTGCAATACCAGGCCATCTCAAAGCGCTACATGCCAGAATTCATCAACTACTCACTGAACGTCCTCTACCACCTCAATCCGGAGGAGCAGACCGACGCATCCGCCATGGGATTCTTTCCCTTTCGGAGTCCATCTACGTCTCTCCGACTGAACCTTTCTTCCAAGCCCATCTCTTCCCGCAGACTTCGATTCTGGGACGTGGCGGATGCGCCTGAAGACGAGGACCAACTCAAGCTCTCCATCATCAATACTCTTGTCAACCTTCTTTCCTCCGCCTCTGATATTTGGTCTGGCAAGTCCGCCTATACCGAGATTTTTTCCCCCGTAGAGAAAGTCCTCTCCTGCCTTTTCCAAGCTCTCGACATCACCACCAAGGGCAAGGGTAAAGCCAGCAAGAACCTCATATCCTCCTCCGTGCTCGATTCCTTCAAGTCGACCCTCGACAAGATCACCGCGCAACTCTCCCAAGCCCGCCACGCCCGTCGGCCCCTCCTCCTCCATAACCACCGGCCCCTCGCTATTAAGACCGCGATTCCCAAGTTCGAGGAATCCTTCAATCCCGACAAGCACTATGATCCCGACCGCGAGCGCGCTGAGGCCAACCGTCTCAAGGCGGAGTACAAGCGCGAGCGCAAGGGTGCCATGCGCGAGCTCCGCAAGGACGCCAACTTCATTGCGCGCGAGAAGCTGCGCGAGAAGAAGGAGCGCGATGCGGAGTACGAACGCAAGTACAAGCGCCTCGTGGCCGAGGTGCAGAATGAGGAGGGCAGGGAGGCGAATGCTTATGAGAGAGTCAAGAGGATGCGACAGGGCAAGCGGTGATCACGACGATCTTGGCACCTCTTCTCCCCGACTCCATGACATAGATGCATCTTTCCCCTTCGCTGGTTTTGACCTCGATGTGTCTCTTGCAAGCCGGTCTTGGGTGCGTAGATGGGTGGACTGCTTCGGGAGTTTCGCCTTCGCGTCCCACCCAACATCTTGTAGTATGCTCTGGCACATCTATGTATATATCTACCTTTTCTTTATATCTACTACAGTATTTTGTCGACGGTGTTAGGGCAGATAGAAAAAACTTACCATCTTTCACAATTCCATGGATTGGATTGGCATTCTGTGCTCTAGTAGACCACGGCTATACGTATGTTGGCCCACGGTTCAAGATCAGGAGGGATGCAGATATGTACATGCGTAGAGAAAACAAAGTAAACTCGTCCAAAGAACCGACGTTGCATGAGTATCGAGAAGGATTCACTGTTGCAAGGCAATCCCAATACTGATTAGGTAGTCGCATCTCGCCTTCTGATCTAGCGGCACCGTTTCCATCTTGGTGTCTCCCGTCCTAATGAAGAGCCGACGGTCGCTGTTGCCATTACCACTCCAGGTCTCCCATTCTGGACTACCAGGATAGCGATAGGGATTCGGATCGAAGGCCTTGATGAAGCTAGTCCAGTACCCCTGCATGACGGGGATGATAGGCGCATTTGAGGTGAAGTAGGACGCGGGTGGTGTTCCAGTCACATACTGCGGACCCCAGATGGCATTCAATTCTACGACATGGTAAACACCTTCCCCGGAGGATTCAGAGCTCGGGTCTTGGACTGCATAGTGATAATTCCAGCTTTTCACCCCGGCTTCTGAGAACGCCGTTGACATGGCGATACCGGGACAATTGTAGCGGAGTTCGCCATATGCGTTGCTGGTCGGCCGCCAATATACACCAGCATCAGGAAACGACATAGTCTGGTTCTCATTGAGGTACAAGTGATTGACTATGGCGAGCTGGTCTAGTTGGAATGCTGGGAATTGACTCTGGATGAATGTGTCGGCCTCGCCCACACTGGATATACTCTTCGGGACAAATGTTGTGCCTTCATTGGTCACATCGCCAAATATAACAGGGACTTTGATAAATTTCCCTAGGGAGAATAACCGGTATGTGTAGTCAGGGACTAGGTCGCCATCAATGGTAGGCGCATAAAAGTAGAGGGGCGGCTTCTGTGCGTCAGGAAGGGGGGTGCCGATGTTTTGCCGCTGTAAGGTCCCTGCATCCAAATTGCGCAGACACGATAGAGTGTCGTCTTCGCTTGCACAGCCAGTGCGAATCACGAGGTTGTTATACGCAAATTGAGCTTCGGTTGCAGTCAGCATGGTGGCAAAGCTTTGCGATTCCGCAGCAGCGGCATGGAAAAGACCTCGATTCTCCCCAGCGTAGGCCGAGAGGAGAAGAGTGACCGAGGCTGCTCCTGCACTGTCCCCTCCAATGACCACATGTTCAGGATCACCGCCAAACTTGGGCGTAATAGGTCAGTGCAAAGTCGCACTCATTTGGGCAAGCTTTGGCTTACTTTTGTTATATGCGTCTGAACCCACTGCAAGACTTTAATCTGATCTTTGAGCCCGTTGTTCGAACTTCCACCTTTCAGGACCTCAGACCCCGAGAGGAACCCGTAAGGACCGACTCGATAGTTGAAGTTAACCACCACGATACCAGTTCTGGACGCCTGAATCAGCCCAGTCCCGTTGAAGTTGGCATTCGAGTCTGCATTAAAGCCTCCGCCTTGGATAAACACAAAGACCGGCAGCTTTGATGCATTCCTTGCCCAATTCGGAGCGTACACATCAAGGAACAGACAGTCTTCAGATGCCCCAGTTGGGATGGGGTACTGATCGGTGGGTATACACAAGGGACCATGCTAAATCTGACATCTCAGCGTCGGTTCAAGACAAGGACTGTGTGCTACAGTCTTTAAGGGGGTCCCCAACAATACCTGAAAGGCAGTCTGAACTCCTTCCGCCGTTTCTGGATCTTGGGGCGCAGCAAATCGCAAGGATCCTACAGGAGGAGCAGCATAGCGAATTCCCAACCATTGCACAATGCCATTGGAGATGGCCTGTCCTCGATATTGCGAATAGCCAAGGTTAACCGTCACATTTTGGAAGCATTCCACATGAATGATGAGGCAGATGACCAGTGTTTGGAAAATCAGTCTCATGATAATGACGATGATGTCAAGCAACAGCCGCGAATGGCTTGCTGCAGAACCGCGGTGTGTTTACGCCGTGCTTTCATGCTGTGCGAGCAGAGCATCCCTTTTGAATGACATATCAACCAGAGTCGAGACCCCTGAAGGCATGCTTCGAGGAATGCGATGGATCCGCCCTTCAATCCAGGAAGGGCTCTCCTTGCATCATCACATGATGGATGTGAGCCGTCATCCTGAGTTTCTCGGCAATGATTGACGCAGACAACGATATGGTCCGGAATTGTGAGGACCAATTGAAGAGTGCCAGCAAAGAGGGGTGTATGTACACCCCGAGCCGTGAGTTGCGAATAATGTCAATTAATGGATGGCTGGACGGGTGAGGTGTACGCCAACTGGTGGTGGATTAACTAGTTAGTAGAGCGAACAAGGAATACTCCCAAGCCGGAAAGGGAAAATCCGCATCTCCGCATCAGCTCCTACTTCCCCGCAGTCGATCTTCCCTGCTTGGCTGCTCTGACTCTGAGCTTGTTACTCCGTCTGACGTGGCTAGCGTTTCTCTAGTCAAGTGAGGCGCAATTTGTGATTGAACCCTTTTCTCTGATTTCACGGCGTCTACTTCTGGATCCCGGTCTTCCCTGTCGTTCCTGTCACTCTCCGGCCGATAACCCAACCCCTCCGCACGCGCAATGCCTGAGGCAGACGAGGAGGAAGATGATTACATGTCCATGGTAATTGAGGAACCACAGCAGAAGGAAACCTTTACCCAAAAGAAGCGCCGACAACAACGAGAAGTAAGTATCAGGTTAGATTTGAAGATTCGTCCAGATCGAATGCTAACTAACCGTTCTTGAATCAGGCTGAAGCGCGTGCCAGAATCCCTTCAAAAGCCGAACGCGCTGCGGACGAAGCAGCACGTCGCGATGCAGCTCTTGCCACCAGTGCGCTGAACCCTTCCAACAAGGGCTTTCAGATGATGGCCAAATTGGGCTTCAAACCTGGACAGGCCCTAGGAAAGCCTGAATCATCTCAGGGAACGCAGCCGGACGAACTCGATGCTCGACTCCGATCCGAGCCTCTCAATTTGGTAATCAAAGAGGATAAGGGTGGAATTGGGCTGGATAGCGAGCGGAAGCGCAAGTTCCTCGAGGAAGCCGAGCATGTTGCCAAGAAAGTGAAAGAGGATGAGGGCGATTATCGCGACCGGGTCCGGCTTGAGCGGGAGATGCGCCGAGCGGAGGCGCAGGTGCATGCTGCGCAGAAGGTTGCTGAGCGTTTGGATGCCGAGGCTGAGACGGACGAAAAGCCGCCATCCAGCGCAGTGAAAGTAGAGTCTTCCGAAACGCAAAAGACAGATGGGGAAAGGGAAGGTTCAACCCCGGATGATACGGCTGGCGAACCTGTGACAAGCAAGCCGCAGAAGGCCAAGCCAACGTCTCAAATTAACATCCTCTACCGTGGGCTAGTCCGTGAACGCGAGGAGAAAGAACGCAATCTTCAGATGCGTCATATGCTGCAAACATCACTCTCTTCTGGATTTTTTCCCAATCCGCGCTTACCAGGACACAACGATCCGACACTGGATCGAGATGACGAAGAAGCTATTGGGGGGCAACGAGAGCCATCAATGGTTCTCGAGCAAGAAATCGAAGAAGATGATCCCGAGCTAGACGAGTTTAATGCGTTAGGCCCGAGCGAACAGCTGTCCCAATTAGTACGGTATCTACGTGATCAACATCACTACTGTTTCTGGTGTAAGTATCGATACGAGAGTGCTGAGATGGAAGGATGTCCGGGGGTGACAGAAGAGGATCACGATTGATGCCACATGGATGTGCTATACGTAACGCAGTATATCATCTGCTAATCCTATACTTGATAGTTAAGCATTATAATTATATCTTGGGGTTGCACCCGCCGATTTCAAATTGGCCCGTCATGTCCAGTGTAAAAGTCAACAAACGAGATACCGGAAAGAAAAGCCCTAATCGCCATCACTAGAGCTAGATTCGTCCAAACCACACGCAACAAATAGTCGCAACTCGAGGGGAATCTTGTTTCATGCGGAAGTACAAATGAACAGAGAATGAGAAAAAAAATCGAGGTATATAAAGCAGGAAGAGAATGTTCGAGAGAAGCAAGAAACAGCCTTTTGGTTCGACCATACTCTTGCCTGACCGTATACAGTGAGAGAAGCAGTATTACGAACGTCATTGGAATCATCATTGAGAAGAAGGGAGCGACCTCATCAATTGCGCCAACGAGCGGTTAGGGCATTTCTGCAAGGCCTGATAGCATCCTCCGCATATGCGCAGACAGCAAAAAACGCACCGGTGTCGCACTTCGTGGTCAAACTTCTGGCACGTCATGCAGGGCAGCGCATACCAGGCATTGTTAGCTGGAGGCATTGACCGGTGGTCTTGGTAACAAGCGTAATGGAGTTTATTCAGAGGCACAGCCACCGGTTCGTAGTCGGGAGGCGTCCACGGGCCCCTATCATCTTCACTGGAGAGAGAGTCGACAGGCGCCTCGGATTCAGGTTCGGGCTCAGGGATGAAATGGTCCAGTGAATCTACCGCACTGGGGCGATTAGATTCCGGTTCCAGGTCTTCTTCGCTGGACGGCGGGGTGGGTTGCGGCGGGATAGGCGGCCGGTAAGCCCGAAACACTGGAGGTTCAGGAAGAGGGCCATCCGGCGGGCTGTAAGGCGGGCGCTGACTGCGGCCGTCAGTCAAAGACCTCGGGCCAGCAGAGGGTTGTACAGTGGGAGGAGAAGGGAGTTCGTCAGGCTCTTGCGATCGGAACGGCGGAGGTGCCGGAGTGAATTCGGATTGTGGGGGGGTCACAGCAGGAGCTGCCGGAGGTTGCTGGACGGGCGCGGATTCCTTCGTAGGCAGAGATTCAGAAGACTTTTGCTTGAAGCCTTTTTTGGCAAAGGAAGGCACTCGCAGGCCGCGGGACCGAATTTCTTTGTCTAGAATCGCCATCTTGCCTCGTTTTGAGGGTTGCTGTCCTGTACTGTCCCTGCAATAACTTGATCAAGGACAATACAAAGAAGTGGGCCGAAGGAAAGGGTATCTCTGGACAATCCAAGATATATGGTTCTATAAGTGTATGAATAGATAGATGTGTGACTTTGGAGTTTGTCAAGAAAGAGAGATCGGAGAATTAAATGAATACCAGAAAGAGAGAGAGGGAGAGAGAGAGGAAGAGGGTGGAGGAAACAGATGGAGGGGGACTGAAAGAGAGGGGGGCTTTTTTTAGAGCAGATCTTTAGGGGACAGGACAAGACATTGAGATGAATTCATCACATCTCGAACAGACTACTGAATGGTTAGGGTTTTATCTCTCAGTTGGTTCAATTCCTGCCTGGGCTGTTTCTTCAGTGATTGACCAATGTAATGGAGACCATAAAAAAGTGGATTGAATCCGGGTTTCGAGCCAGGAACGCGCAAGTTCGGAAGGGTAAGTAAGTTCGTAACAGGAAAAAAATCAAGAAACAAAAAAACACCAGAGCTGAACCACGGATCCACTGAGTCCTGACAGGCTGCGCAGCCCAGACAGAAAATCAAGCAGGGAGGAAGGAAGGACAAAGGGCAACAGGCAGATGGCCGGCCTGCTTGGATCAAAAGAAATTTGACTGGCGGATACTTGGAGGAAACTGCCCAGCTAGTACCCAAGGTCGATACCTACAATACAGACACAGACAGATAGTTAGCACTGTGACAGGACTGAAGTTGGAAGCATGTTCGATGTTCGATCTTAACGAACCAGAAGAAGACGAGAAAAGGAGAGCGAATGACAGTGTCTCTGCAAGCTATCGATCGCGTCAGTCCGTCGCAAGGACTAGTGGATGATAGCGTCATTTCAACCCCTTTGGGTCATTCCAGCCATTGATAGGAATTTCCGCACCCTCTGCCCGGTCTTATCGAATCACTACTCGGATGGGATGAAGCGAGGAAGTGGGAACTTGAAGTGATAAACAACCTCAGTTGAGGATCTGCCAGTCGAGACTTTGGGAGTTTCGCCAAAAACCCTTCAGACACTCAGTCAATGATAAAATTGCAGTGTCGATCAACGATTGCCACCCTTGTCCACCCAGACCAAGAATTTATGGATGTACGGAGTACTATGTACTCATACAATGTACACTGCAGTACTAGATATGTAAGATCCGTGCTCGGAATTGGTGGCACTACTATGAGTGAGTAGGACGAATCAGAGCAGAAAACGAGGAATGGATGATGGACCCTGGTCTGGCGCAGAAGAGAGTGCGCGAGACCGGTCTGTCTGTCTGTCTGTCTGTCTGTCATCTGGAGTCCTGATAAAGTACTTCTAAATTATGTACTGTACTGCACTGTACAGGATTTACATAGTAGATACTTCATACCATTTTTTGTTCGGTGGAGGTGATGGAGCAGATCCTTGTAACAAGGTACGAGTACCTTACAATGTGCCCTGTATCTCAAGTACCACGTAAGTTCAGCGGAGTGCATGTAATCTTACTTGCACCTACATAGTACTACCTAGTAAGTTACCAAGTACGGAGTCCACTGCACAACAAATTCCCCGAAACGAGTCAGAATGCCCAATGAGAACACGTGGGAATGTCCTTGATAATGTAATTCAGAATCTACAGCGCCGTAAGAAGGTAATACTTGGATAAGTATCTATAAGTTGTAGGGTTGTACTAGGTCCAATCCTGACTAAGTTAGTATGTACTATCTTACTGTATTCCTGTCCGTCATCCAAATACTTATTTATTGTCTGTTGAGTCTTGACCTTTGGCGTAATGAATGACAGAACACCACGCACTAAATAATTCTCCGGTGGAGCCTCTATCATATGGGCTGAAACAACTCCAAGGTCTTGAGACTATTAAAGGATCCGCTCCACTTCGACCTTAAACAAGGTCACCAGCCATGGAATTTGCATGTATTTGATACAAATGAGCTTGATCAATCCAAACATGTATTATGTGTGTCCTCGATTTTGGCTTGGGTGCCCGCGTT